AAAAGGTTCATGACTATGCTAAATAATTGCAGGTCTTACCACCTCTAGAGTCACTAAACATTTATGACTCTAGTTGGATATGGAGTCTTTGTGTCATTTCCATTGGCTGTCACTATGCATGACTGCTATATTGGCAATGTAAATGGTTTGATGTGTAGACAAAGCACAAACACTTGAAAATATCAAACAAGTTTTACTCATAAAGAACACGAAAAAATGTCAGGATAAATGGAAGAAAGGCCAGCAACATTCTCCAGGACCAAGAGGGTGCAAACCTCCTAGTACTAAACCTCACTAGCAGATATATGGTTGCAGAGGTTACGGTATAAGTGAATGAAGGCCTAGAGGCATATCTGTCTTCCTCTGGACAGTTATATGCTGGATAATTCCTACACGTATGTAGTATAGACATTTGCTGGAGGTTACCCTACCAGGGCCAGGAGCAAGCATTTCAAGTTTCAGAGTTTTACAATGCAGAATAGAATACACGTCAAGGAATGAACCAAATGCTCACCTATCATTCCAGACTATCGAGGCCAGAATATACTGGTCCAAGTACATTCCTGGTCTCAATGCCATGGAAACAGAATAAGACTAATTTTCCCTGACATCTCCAAGATTCATGCTAATAATCCCTTATGCTAGCTGAAGGAGTCAAGCTGTGATTTGTGTAAGAAATATAAAAATAAAAATTCTAAGCACATAGGGTGTGTGGTTCTGAGAGAGCTGGAGATGATACTGAGAACAAATTGGGAACAAATTTTATTGGGAAATAAGACTTAAGCAGACATTCTATTCCTTTGATCACATGATGATATGAAAGACATCCATAGACTGAGTTTTAGTGCCATTATTATTCATGGTGTTTCAGAATAATAAAAATTTTAATAAAAAAAAAGTTTATAATGAGAATGTTCTGTCATTTGAATCAGTTACAGAAATCCAATTCAAAATAACCTAAGAAAAAGGAAAAGTTACTGGATAGAAATAGGACATAATTTGGAAAAAAATTATGTGAAAGGTTGGAATAAATGTAGGTATCAGAGACAACAGCCTTTTATTGCTTTTCTCTGTTTTTATTTCATCCTTTCCTTTTATTCAGTCTGATAAGTAGTTTCAGAGATTTACATATTAAAACTTTAGCTACTGAGTAGAACCTTCCTTGAATGTCTGTCTGTATCCCTAAACACAAGACTATAATTGGGCTGAGCTGTGGTTAGTGGACCATCCCCAAACTAGGGAGATGTGCCCATAATCACATTTCCCTCACTCAGGTGGTTAGTGGACCATCCCCAAACTAGGGAGATGGCAGCTTTTATGGTAACCTGTGGATATAGAAAGGTGATAAAAGAGAAGCAGGAAAGAGATGGGAAACAATTTTTAGAAAAATGAGAGTTTAAGGAAATATAATCTATATATAATACATACATATATAGCTACACTAATAAAAGAGAAACATGCAAATGGGTGTCACTCCACTACGCCCACCAGCCAATCAGAGCAACTATGCAAATCAACCCAACAAAGATGGCAGTTAAGTTGCATACGCAGGCACGGAGCGAAGACTGAAGGCTCCAGCCAGAATGAAGACTGAAGACTGTAGACTGAAGAGGCTTGGTTTCTCCACTGAGGCTGGACCAAAGGCCTGGGTCCCGGGTGCCAGCAGCCAGGGGAAGGAAGGCCTATTTTGCGAATCTTTGTGCAACGGGTATCTAATATATATATATATATATACTAGAGGCCCAGTGCACAAAAATTTGTGGACTCGGGGGAGAAGGGGGGTCCCTCAGCCCAACCTGTGCCCTCTCGCAGTCTGGGCAGTCTGGGGCCTCTCGGGAGATAACGACCTGCTGGCTTAGGCCTGCTCCTGGGTGGCAGAGGGCAGGCCCAATCCCTGGGTGCAGCCCCTGGTCGGGCTCAGAGCAAGGCCGATCAGGGTGTTGGGGAACCGCCACTCTCACACTCAGGGCAGGGCCGATGGGGAGGTTATGGCTCTACCCCGTCACACACAGAGCAGGGCCCGTGGGGGGGTTTGGGGCGCTGCACCCTGTCACACACAGAGTTGCAGGGCAATCAGGGGGTGGGGAACTCCCCCCTATCAGGCACAGAGCAGGGCTGATCAGGGGGTTGGGGTGTCTTCCCCTGTCATGAACAGAGCAGGGTGGATAGGGAGGTTGTGGCCCCGACCCCTGTCACACACAGAGCTACAGGGCGATCAGGGGGTTTGGGCCCTGCTCCCTGTCATGCTGATCCCAGTGCTGGGAGGCCTCCAGCTCCGCTGATCCCAGTGCTGGGAGGCTTATTACCCTTTTACTATATAGGATAGAGGCCTGGTGTATGGGTGGGGGCCGGCTGGTTTGCCCTGAAGGGGGTCATGGATCAGGGTGGGGGTCCCCACTGGGGTGCCTGGCCAGCCTGGATGAGGGATGATGACTGTTTGCAGCTGGTCACACACCCTTCAGGGAGGGGGTCCCCACTGGGGTGCCTGGACAGCCTGGATGAAGGGCTGAGGGCTGTTTTCAGGCTGGTGGGTGACTGAAGCTCCCAACTACTCCTTTTTTTTTTTTTTTTTATTCTGGGTTCCTCAGCATGGCCTGCAGGGATCAGGCCAAAACCAGCTCTCTGACATCCCCTGAGGTGTCCCGGATTGCAAGAGGGTGCAGACCAGGTCGAGAGACCCCACCGGTGCACAAATCCATGCAACAGTCCTCTAATAACATATAATGCATCCATAACTTACACACATTTAGGGTGGAACTAGCCTATAGCAAAATTTCTTGATCTCTGCACTATGGACATTTTGAACCAGATAATTGTTTGCTCTGGGGCTGTCCTGAGCATTGTAGGATGCTTAGAAGCATTCTGCCCACTAAATACCAACAGTACCTTTCTGGTCATGAAAATAAAAAAATGTTTCCAGATATTGCCAAATGTCCCAGGGTGGGGGAGGGGAGTAGCAAAGTTGCACCCTGTTAACAGCCACTGGCTTAAGACAATCATAATCCATGAAATTGCCTGGAGAGTAGGTTAAAGAGTAGATGTAGAAATGTAGAAGTTAGTCATATTGGGAATTGAACATGGTATCTCGAAGAATTTCTACTTATGCATCAGAATGTTCAGAAGTTAATTTGTCCTCTGTCCTAAGTTGAACCACTTCACAAATACAAAGTCAGTTTGTTTGTTTTTTCATTTAAAAAATGGAAGCAATACTAACTCCATAGGGTACTTTTGAGTATAAAATAATTATGTGAAAATATTTTGGAAGCTACGAAGTGATATATGAATATAAAATAATAATTTAAAAAAATAAAATCACTATAATAACCAGCACTTTTATCTTCCTAAGGATATTATATTTCTTAAGAGTCTGGGGAGAAAAGAGGTTTGCCAGGGCTGACCAGCAGCCCCAGAGCGACAGATGAATGGATTACTCCGACACTGTGAAGAGAGGCTAAGGGACTGGCTATAGCAACAAGACAGCCTTGATTGCCTGCCTCAAGGCCTTTATTGAAGTTTTTATCTTTAGATACAATGAGCAGGGTGAGTAATCTTGGGAGGACACATGAGTTTGTGTTGTCCTCAAGGCAAGGGGACCCAAAGATTAGGCATAAAGATTCCAGGAAGCATCCAGGGGTCTGCATGTGCACAGACTTGTTTGGAAACATCAAGGAATAATTAGGGGCACCCCCTTTGACACTCCCCTACGTCGGAATTCCGATAAACAGGGCAGGCGGCCTTCCACACACTTCCCTTTTCTCAGAACGTCCTCCTTACAAACTTTGCAACCACGTCTCACATGCTTCCCAACAGAGGCTGGCTTCCTATATACAGAATAGAGTTCATTAACATACAGTTTATACCATTTGATGTATTTTGCTATGTTAGGTGTTTTTATTCAGTTCATTCATTAGTATTAGCTGAAAATAGTTAATTTATATTACTAATTTATGCACTTTTACTATACTTTTAAAAACATGTTTTTATTGATTTCAGAGAGGAACGGATAGGGTAAGAAGGATAGAAACATCAAAGATGAGAGAGTCTCATTGATTGTCTGCTTCCTGCATGCCCCCCAATGGGGAGTGAATCCACAATCTGGGCATGTGCCCTGACCAGTAATGGAACAGAGACCTCCTGGTTCATTGGTGACCTCCTGGTTCATGAATTGAGCTCAACCACTGAGCCACACCGACTGGGCTTTACTATACTACTTTGAATTAACTACAAGTAAATAATTATTTTTAAAGTTTATTTTATCACCTAAACTCAAAAGCAGTCAGATTGCTCAATTGTAACTAAGTAAGCCTTTGATTTATTAGCCCTTGGTGGCAACAAATTATTTAGCCTAATAAAGAATTACAGCAAGGCTTTATTGAAAGATTGAACATAAAGTAGAATAATAAATTCATCTCCTAACAGCATATATAAGTACCACTTAAACCATTCCAAACATATATATTACAAAAATAAATAATATTTGATGCTCTGACATCACATGGAGAATATCACCACCACCACAATCACCATTACTAATAACAACGATGATAGTAATGATAAAAACAACAAAACCAAAAGTTATCTATTAAATGATTGTCTTGAAGTTGGAATGGTCTTGAATACCTCACGGGTAAATCTTAATGCTTGAGAAATTTATTAACACACATTAAAAATCTTAAAAACACAGAGATAGAAACATATTTAGAAAATGGGTATTTTCTCCTTTATTAGGACAACATAGTGAAATCTTAGCATTTCTATCATCACTTCTTTATATGTTCTTAGTTCCCAAGAGCTTACCTTCCCATACTTACTAATTAAGTACATGTTTTTGTTAGTTTCTTTGTTTTTCAAATTTAAATTTGTTGAATAAATATGAGAAGGAATAAAAGGTATTGCAATAGTGGCTTGTAAATATTTTTTTATTTGAACTCAAAAAAATGTTGCTTTTTGGTATTATACTTTTGTCTTATGATGGTGGTAATATTTTATCCTTCATCTTCCTAACCCTCGTCATCTTCATCCTTCTCCTCCTCCTCCTCCTCTTCCTCCTCCTTCTCTTCCTCCTCTGATTTCTCCTCCTCTTCTTCTTCTTCTTCCTCTGCCTCCCCTTCCTCCTCCTCTTCTTCCTCTTTTTCTGTTACCTCAAGGGGAAATGTCATCTGTTCTTCCGTTAATATATTTGGAAAATAAGACTGTACTATCAAAACAATTGTGGCACATAATGTAAAACTTAGTGTTCTCAAAAAGAAAATTAAGAAGCAGAGTGGGTCACACACAAGTGGCCGGGGCACTTCCCATCTTGGATACCAAAACTGATAATCTGTCAATAAAAAAGCAATTGAAAGCTGGATTGCACATAAAGTAGTTAAATTGTTCAAGAAATAAAGGACAACAATACATACATATGGCTTCCTCACGATCTGCATTGCCTAGGGGGAAAAAAAAGGAAGTCAATAAAGAATGACATATACTTTGTCTTTCTCTAAAATAGAAAATATTTTTTCCAAAAGTAATGACAACATTTTCCTAGCTCTCAGGCATCATACTATTATTATATTTGATTTCTGCTGTCCCATCAGCACCCAACCATAAAGTCCAATATATCTTCTTTTAGTAAAAGTCAGTCTGGCCTGCTACAGAGAGCATGAAAGTATAGGAAGAGATGTGAATTCTAGAACTAATTCTGTCTCTAAATCATTGTCATCTTATATAAGTCATCATATTTATATATAT